AACGCCATGGTTTTTAAAATCTGTAAGTTGGGCCGGGGATTTAGCTCAGTGGTTCCACTGCCTGCCTCACAAAGTGCAAGGTCCTGAGTTCGATGCCCAGTACCAAAAAAAAAAAAAACCAACAAAAAAATCTGTAAGTTGTTCCTTAGGTCTGTCTGGCCCATTCGGCCAAATGGTCTGAAGTGCTTTATATTAATATCCTAAGCTCTTGGGGTAGGGATACAGTGCTGTCATATTGTCTTTTCTGTCTCTGAGCATGTGAATGTTTGGGTTTTTTTAAACCTCATCCTAGCACTGAGATGAAATCCAGTAGTACTGCTTAACACCATCCAAATTTAGGATAGTTTTGTTTGTGTGCTAAAGATTGATGTTTCTCCAGTTGTTTGGCTGTTCAGGTCCATCTCTGAAATAAGCAGCCTGAAGACGACTATTGTGTGTGAAAGGTTTTTGTGGGGTAGGGACGTAGCTCACTGGTATGAGGACTTGAGTTCCATCCCCACTCCAAAGTAAAAAGCTGTTATTTCCCTGTCTGTTTCTGGGGCAGTAAGGGTACTTGACAGATTGAGTGGTGAGCAGAAGTTTGTATTGTATGCTGAGTTTGCTTTTAAAGTTTCACTTGCAGTGATTCTTTAACTAGGATTTTGTGTCTTTAGGGAAAGTTCATTTAAGTTTCAAAAATATTAATATGGATGTTGTGAGATCTTACTTCAGTATTGGTTAGGGTGGGCTGGTTCACCTGTATTAATCTTATGAAGCTCTGTTGTTTCTACGCAGCACTGTAGATTTAACACTCAGTGTACAAGACCGGACTGCACATTTTATCATCCTACCATTACTGTACCGCCAAGACATGCCTTGAAATGGATTCGACCTCAAACCAGGTGAAAATTAAAATGAGTTTGTCTGTGGTCATTTTCAAATACTTTTCTAATATGTAGATGGTTATAAATGTGTAAGCACACAAATTTGGGGGAAGTTAAGACATCACTTTTTAAAAAAGTAATCACTGGATAAACAAAGTAATCATCTCCTGATTTCTTTTTAACTTCTGATCATACTCCGCAGACAGATACTAAGGTCAGCAAGAATGTGTGTGTGTACTGTTTGTCAAATCAATTTTCTTAGTCATTAGTAGTACTAAACTATCAAAAGGAAGCCTTAGACTATTTTAATGTGGCTTATAAATTGAATTACAGGTTTTAACTGTGTTACATACTTCAATTTTTATAAAATCCAGTATTTATACTGTAACCTGATGACCCATATTTGTTTAAAAGTACTAACCTCTTAGCTGAGATACATATATAATATATATATATGGTACATATGAATGCAAAACAGTTAATTTAAAAAAAATTTTGGTTCTGTTTATTCAGCGAATGATAACCAGTCGTACCTGGCAGAAGATCATGCAGTTTGAAGGGTTCTACCTACTGATGAAAGATAATCTACAGAACTTGTCAGATCTTTGAAACTTGGAATACATTGCTTTCATAATACGAAGTTTATTGCCTATCTGAAGTGTCTGATTTTTCAAGTTTGTAATTTTATTATTGAGTGGTTTTAACATTCGGTATTTTCTTTTGTTGTTTTGTTTTTAGTATGAAAAGACAGTTTAAAGGAGTAGCTACATTCTGTTGAAACATCCGAGGTGTGTTTATACCCTGATGTGTGAGTATCAGCATTTACACAGTAGATGATGGTGCTGCAGTTTATTGGCTGCACCACTGTAGTGAGGCAGAATCGAGCTCAATGTTGATGCTGCTGCTTTCACTTCTCCCAAAGATGGTATGATGTTTGTAACATACCTACCATGAGAATAGAAGTGGCTAAAAGTATTGAGGCAGTTTAAAATAGTCATTCAGATTCTTTTTAATGTTTAGTTTGCAAAGCATGATAATACAGGCAGTTTGAGTGCTACTTTGGTAAAATTGTCCGTCAGTCCTGTGCCTTCTGTGAAAGGAGTGAGGTGGGCATGCAGGGTGAAAACAGTTGCGATGACAAGTGGAAAAAAATATGAACAACTCCTTAAAATGTTTTCATTTACTATTAACATACACTTTTAACATTTGGGGGAGAACTACATTATCACAAAATTATACAAAACTTTTTACAAGTATATACATATATAGTCCCACATTCTGAAAAATAACATTCTCAGAAATAACTGCACAGAAAATATACAAAGTTACTACTGAAGATAATTTTTGGAATGTAAAAACTAGATTTTAGTATATTTTAAATGGCAGAACTATATAATTATAGATCAGATGGGTAAACAGAATAGAATGAAACTTGGCCTACCATATTATGTAGTTTTGTGTGTTGTTTTTAAAACTTAAGGCAAGAAGTGTCAAATGCTTTAGAATTAAATACCAACTGATTTCAAAGACTTTAGTAAAGAGTAATGCAAAAGGGATAATAAAGACTTAAACATTTTATAGGACCAAATTAACTGTAACAAAATTCATTGCCTTGCTTAGTTATATATCCAAAGGATGGCTAATAAACCCGTATCTGTAAGAGTCCATGTTTACAATTATAAAGTCAGCCTTATATTGTGGTCATTGCCATTCCATTCAAGAATCAGTCATGAACCATTTGGTAAGTTGCACTTGGCTGTCCTGATCCCAAAGTAAAGACTTGAAATACTGAAAGAACAAAGACAGCACACAGGGCATAAAGCTACTATGTCACATTAGGCTGAAGTGAAATGACAGTCCCATTTCATTCTACGTGTACTCCATTGAATTTAAGGCATTATTCATTTCAGCGTTGAGATGTTTTGCGTCTCTGCAGAAGAAATTTGTTTTAAATTGTTTAAATTTTGGGGTGGGGATTTAGCTCAGTGGTTCCACCGTCTGCCTTGCAAGCGCAAGGTCCTGAGTTCGATCCCTGATAACCCCTCCCCACAAATTTCTAGAGATTTTTAAGTATCATTATAAATGGTTTATAGTTGTAGTCCCATAGTTACAATATAAAGACCATACAGTAAGTAGGGAACAAGGGCTTAAGTGGTTCAGTTCACCTTTTTTCACCCACACTGTTTTTTTTGGGGGGGCGGGTACCAGGGATTGAACTCAGGTCCTTGCACTTGCGCACCAGGCAGTGAAACCGCTGAGCTAAATCCCCGGACCCAGTTCACCTTTTTTTAAAACTAGGAAGTAACATGCTAAAAATCTGAGTCTGTTGTACCATTTGACATTGGCTGGAAACAGTTGCTGTGGTTTATGGGTAAGCTAATGCTGACCCTGAAACATTTGATGAAAAAAATGGTCTAAAGTGAACCACCATAAAGGATCACAGGAAAGGAAGGGAATGAGCATGGTTGGCAATAATGCAGTGAGTGGTACCAGAGTGCACAGTGTGCTTTGGCATGCATTTGTCCACACAAAGCCAGTGGGACTTGGAATGCCCAGCAGATACAGGCTTTCAGTTCTGGGGCTTAGATACTGGACACAAAAATGATTTTCTTCCTAAGGTTTATATATATAAATCGAATTCTGTATGGTCTGTATGTCATGTTTCTTCACCTTGGTTGATGGATAACAAGGCAGTCATACTATGACTAAAGCAACATGACCTTTAGTCATGAAACTGACCACAGTGGTGATTAAGGCTGACATAAGTTGACCACTATGAATGATAAATTGCAGGGCAACCAGCTTTTACTACCTGCACTATAATGAAACTGAAATATTTCTGTAGCCAAAAGTTAGCAAACTTGACCCACAGGGAAAATTTAAAACAGGCTGAAATTTGGACTTTCATGAGAGGGTGGTTCATGGGCATTTTTCCCTTTAACTTACTACTGCTTTATAAAGTATGCCGAATAGAGATTTGATATTACTGTGTTTTAAAATACAGCTTAGTTCAGCAGCATCCTTTGATGTGAATAATGATGGTATAGTCTTATGTTTCGAGCTTTTTGACTCCTTAATTGATCCTATTGACACAGCTGTTCAGCTTTAAAACTGATCTAGTTCAATCACTACCAAGCTGTGATACAATTCACTTATTGTCTGTTTATAGTATTTCCAAAGTGTTGGCCATAGAAACTGTATTTTAGGAATTGTGATGTGTTTTGTCAAACCAAACTGGTCATTTCAGAAACTTGAGGAATTATGCTACAAAGATTAACACAATAAAAATTGCTGCTCTTTTTTTTTTTTGGTACCGGGGATCGAACTCGGGTCCTTGTGCTTTCCAGGCAGGCGGCGGCGGAACCACTGAGCTAAATCCCCAGCCCCACAATAAAAATTAATAGTACCAGTAAAGCATCTTCCAACTTCTTCACACTTAGAAAAATGTATTTTAGGGCCGGGGATTTAGCTCAGTGGTTCCACCACCTGCCTCGCAAGCTAAGGACTCGAGTTCAATCCCCGGTACCAAAAAAAAAATAAATATATATATATATATTTTAAACATCAGTCTACATAATTTTCATTCTTCAGGAAACTACAGATAGGTTAAAGAGCAAATTCCTGAATGATGAGTACCTATCTTTGGCAGCATTTAAAGTGAAAAGGAATAAGGATCTAAGAATTTAGCCCCAGTCCACTAATTTTGACGGATTTTTCAAACGAACTTGGGTTCATTCATTTTGGAACTTAGCCTATAGAGTGGCATACATCTAAACAGATTTTCCCAATAGAAAAAATTTTATACCAGGAATTACTAGCTTTAAGTTTAATGCATTTTCAGTGATGGTGAACCTTTTAGAGCTTTCACTGATGAACAGCCTGCTGCAACACGCATGCCATAGGTTCACCACCACTGGTTTATATGTTAAATGTTTATATATTAGACTACATCTTCAGTATTTTCCAATGAAATACTGTTGCCATCTGAAAACCTTAAAAAAAACTGTACATCATTGGAAATAGTTATTCATCATACTACTTTCCCATTAATGAGGCTACAGTCAAAATTTCAATTCTAGACATGGCTTTTAAAAAACATTGACAGCTCCAAAATGAAAATGTGACAGTCACTCGTATATTACTAACTTTGGATCTATTCCTGAATTCAAACTGCAAGTTTGAAAAAAGTGTCCTGTTAACAAAAGGACTTTATTAATGCCTAAAAACATTCTCCAGGAAAGCTTCTGTTTCCTTAGGGAAAAATGTTTGTTTTGAAAACTGATCCTTTAAGGTAATGATAGTTTTTCCTTTTTTAATAGAAATGCAAGGATAAAATATTTCATTGGATGATGAACCTTAAAATATAAGTGCTAAAAAGAAACAGTTTTGCTAAATTTTCCAAGTTGCGGCTTTTTAAAAACACTTTCTGCGTAGTGCTGGGTTGGATCCCAGGGCTTCACAGATGCTAGGCAAATACTCTACCACAGATTTCCATCCCTAGCCCTCCAACTTGGGTTAAGTTGGAGATTTTTTGATTCATTATTTCATTCTCCCCAGCAGGTCTGCCAAAGTCACACAAACACTCAAAAGGGGTGTGTGTGTACTATACGTATTCAGTTCTTCCTTGAAACGTGGTCATCTGGCAGTGTATGGATTAGGGATAGTTAATGCATACAGCAAACATTTTGAACTCATCAGCCTGTTTTGATCATCCTGGGCGCTTCTCCCTGTTTCCATCTTCAGTTAGCACCACTTGTCCATGCAGAGTTTGGTTTTGGTTTTTTCTTTCTCCTGTGTAATTCTGGTCTCACAATGATGTTAGTTTATGTAGCCTTCTGAGCATTCATCTTTTAATGAGGCATATGTACACATTTCCAGACAAATAAACTGTAATAAAAAATGCAGAGTTGATTACAATTTTTAGATTTTCAGAACAGCTAAATTTTTTTTTTTTAATTGAGGTTTCAAATCATACAGGTGTAAAATTTTTCCTTGTTAACTCATTTTATCCTGTACTTCCATATATGGCTCCAACGGGCCATATGGTTATGTTACCTTCAGATAATGTTGACTGAGTTCATTAACCATGTTACAGAAAGTGTTATATCAATTTTCTTAACTAGTAAAAGTCTACTTTTCTTGGGCTAAGAAAGACTCACCTGCAGTCATCACCTCCAGCACTAATAACATGTCGATCGCCACTGGTAAATCGGATGTTTGTCACATGGGGTGAGTGACCAAAGAACCGCTTGTGCTTTGCCTAAAAAAAACCAAAAACAGTAACAAAGCTCAGGGGATCTGATGCACACAAGAGTTGTGGAGAGAATGGAGTTAACACAAACCAGGTTATTTTGGTAGTCAGATGTCTCTAGGTCTCTGAAAATTTTTCTCTTGAGAACAGTTAAAAGTCTGGCAAGTGAAAAATAGTTTGGTAAAAAGTTCACCAGAATTTTATTAGTTTTCCAAAGATTTCCAAAGTATTGCTGGAGGGAGGGGTTTGTTTTTAGTAGTTCTTACTGAAAAAAATTTTTCAAAATACAAATTTAAAAGTACAGTATTTTTCAGACCAGGATAAACCATTTTAAATATGTGAGAGAAAATACTGACATAAAATACTAAATAGAATACAAACTTACAAATTTTTCTGGACATGGGAAGTCAAATAATTTAACCATGCCGAAGTCATCCCCTGTTACAAGGCTGATTCCTGAGTGAGACACACAGGCACAGTTGACATCGGCCTTCTCAGCATGTCTGGACCAGATTCCCGTAACTTCATCCCCTAGAATACTAAAGACAAAAAGCAAACCCACCACAGGCAGGCTTACCATATGATTTGTCAATCTGTACCCTTACCATGTTACTTAAAATACAGCAATAAATTATAAAGCAGGTTGGAGGCCTGAATTTCAGCTGGCTATTAATTCAATCTCATCTTTTAAAAATTTTATAACTTTGGGCCGGGGATTTAGCTCAGTGGTACCTCGCCTGCCTCGAAAGCACAAGGTCCTGAGTTCGATCTCAGGTACCAAAAAAAAAATTGTAATTTAAAAGGTTTATAAGATTAAAGTTTTAAAATTCAGTACCTTATGAAAGCTGATTGGATTATTTTTCAGATTAAAAGTGGTGCTTTATAGGAATTTAATGGCACTTAACAATTGTGACTAAATGGTGGATATTAGTCACGTGTCAGCAAATTTGAGCAAATTTGTAAACTTATGACAACTTCAAGGTAGCATTTCTTTAATACATTTGTTAAAGCCAGTTTTTATTTCCTGTTATTAGTTTAATGTTTAGGGAAATTCAAGGGACTCAAGCACAGAGGATGGAAATAAATACGTTTAATGAAGAGGGGTCGTAGTTCTGAACATACATTATTCTTTTCCTAACAATTCAAGATATAGTTAATAAAAACATGAACTAAATTACTGTTCCCTAGAGAATGGCTCTGATTTCAGAAGTAGGTTTTTCTGACTTCCTGACCTTCAGAGTCTTTTCTTTCCTTCTGAGTAGTATCAGCAGTATTTACCTAGTCCACGTAGCCCAGGTAATTCTGTCAATGGCAGCATGATCCAGAAGATGTTTCCCGGAAGGCACCTCATAAACATGGCGTTTATAGCAGCCACTGGAGACCTTTTCTCATAGTAAAACAGGACAAGAATTCCGTTAGGCGAAGGCACAGTCCACTGGGGTGTTTAGAATACTAGCAGACTGCTACATGATTTAAACGTCTACTGTGAAGAATACAGATCACTACAAATGCAAGGAAGTGTGGGGAAGGAGAAGTGGAGTGGAAATGGACCGATGTAAATCAGAGCAGCAGACAGGTAAGCGGGATGATTAAAGTCCAAGATCTGATGTACAACAGGAGTGTAGGTAATTGTAGTGCTAGTGATTCACACAAAACCAAAAAAAGGCTTGAGATGGATATTTTAATTTGCTTAACTGTAGTTAACTTTTTTTTTTTTTGGTACCGGGGATCGAACTCTGGTCCTTGCGCTTGCGCAGCAGGCGGCGAAACCACTGAGCTAAATCCCCAGCCCTGTAGTTAACTTTTTAACTATACTGTGTATATGTATCCTGTAACATACACATTGAAGTATTTTGTGTTAAAATTTATTTTAAGAAAGTGCAGGAGCAGGAAGATTGGAGTTCAAGGCCAGCTTGAGCAACTTAAGTGAGACCCTGTCTCAGATTAAAAATGGATGGGATGTAGCTCAGTGTGAAGGCCCAGGATTCAGTCCTCGGTAAACTGCCCCCAGAGAATGAAGTATTACAGAATTAATGCAGAAACAGTGAATAGTGAAGGCAAAAGTTGAAGCTGTGGAACCGAGAGAGAACGGGCTGAAGGGATTTAAATGTACTCACTAACACGAAATGTACAAGCAGGAAGTACCCTTGTAAAAGAGGTGTAACTGCTGGTGCTGTACCTGGAGGTACCTGCTATCAGCTGAGAAGTCCATTTGAATGACAAAGCTTGGAATATCTTTGCAGTAGCTGATTCTGTTAAGGGTGGGGCCCAACATTAGGTCATAAAAATCCACTGAGTTCTCACTAGAACCCACTGCCAGATACCGGGAATCTGGACTAAATCTGAATACATAACAAAATGTAAAAAACGTGTTAGTCTTGATTCTTTTATCTGAAAAAAATGTCTTTCAGTAGCAAACAATGCAGCCCAGGTTATTAGGGTGAAGTGGAAGCTTGGAAGACAAAGTGAAATACTATTTGGGTGCCAGTCATGGGAGGCAGGGTGGGACCAAGTCAGTGTTTGAAAATGTTTTATGAGCCTTATTGAGGTACTTTAGGAACAAAATCAGTCTCTGAAAATGTCCCATGAGTCTGAGGTATTTTAGGGATACATAGGGGCTGTGGAAGGCCATTGTCACATTGTTAGATGGTGAGGTTCTAAGGAGGCTTCCTTTACAAAAGGATTGTACTCAATGGGGGCTCAGTTTTTGGATTCAGTAATCTCATCTATGGATCACAAAGAAATGCCCAGTAAATGGTAGCTACTGTTAACACTGAAAAAGAAGTTCATGACAAGTTTTCAGATTCCGGGACATAAATAAATGTTCACCCATAAGTACTGGTTTGAATGAATGAACCAGAAATGAGAGCTCAAAGGCCCATAGCAGGCAACAAAGGAAAAGTGTGAAGCTTAATGGAGGTAAAGAGGTAAGTTACACAGAGTTGTAACTTTGGTTTTCTGAGTTCTACAGGGCAGGTGAACTCTTCTAGTAATAGTGGACTCTTCCAAGTAGTGTTCTTGGCACAGTTAAGTTACTGTGTGTCTAGTGTGACACTCTTCAAACATTACCTAGTACTTGGTGTTATGAAGCACTATAGCTAGTGCCTAAGTGGATTTATAATTTAGGAAGTACGGTTAAGTATACAAACAGCCACATTGCAATTAATGATATAAAATGCTATAGACTGTCAGAACATTTCTTTCCTTTTTTTTGGTACTGGGGATCAAACTTGGGACCTTCCACTTGTGAGGCAGGTGGCGGCACCACTGAGCTAAATCCCTGGCCCTGTCAGAACATTTTTGAAGCTATGAGTAGAGAAGGTTTCCAAATGCAAGCTGGGTCATTTATTCCATTTGAAATTAGAAATTTTACTCCATTAGTTGACTAACCTGATGTCATGGATTGCACATCGTCTGTCTCTCTTCTTTCCCCATATTTTTAGAGAGTTCACCAGTAAGATAATAAATTCTCCATTTTTCATTCCAATAGCCACCATGTCCCCTTCAGGGCTATAGCACACAGTACGAGCAGCGTGCCCCAAATTCACTTTGTTTAACATCTTCTGCATAAGAAGCAAAACAATCACAGAAAACCCCATTGTGTAGTACTTACAAATGAATCCAGCCCCCCCCATACTCAATTGTAAGTTCTTTAGGTGCTAGCGATTTGAGTTCCACTTTCTTTTTTGAAACTACGATTTCTTTAAAAACTGTTTGTACCTACTTTGTCAGCGACATCCCACAGTCTCACTGTCCCATCTTCTGCAGCAGAAAGGAAAAAATCCCTGGAAGGGTGTGTTGCTAGCCCCCAGATTGGTCCATCCACATGACCACTAACCAGAATATTACAAGCTGCATTTTTCTCTCCAACTTCAATTATTTCAGCATTCCTTGTCCCAACTAGTATCTTGCCCTGAAACACAAGTGGGACCAATATCTTCATTGTAATTCTGCATGTCCGTGTTTTGAGCTGATCTAGTCACAAGCTCTAAACATGATTAGCTCATGCACATTTTTCTATGACCAAAGGAACACATCTGCATGAGCACTGGTCTAGGTTGCATGGTAGATAGAGTTCATGCTAAAGACTGAGCTCTTCTCTATGGTACTGTGTCTGGATTCTTCAATAATCAAAGTTTTGACTTTGACCTTAGGATCTTTAAAAAGGTATAAATGTACTGGGATGTAAGAATGAATTCATGTTTTAGTGAAAAAGTATATAAAGTAATATTTAAATATGTAGACAGGTTAATACATGAATATGATTTATAAATACAAGAGCATACATGCCCTACAATTTTTATAGGCATGTTTTTTTTTAATGGAGACAACTGCTCTAATCAAATGAATCAACTGGCAAGGATTTTCAGTTTTGTCTGTCACAGTTAACAGATTGAAGAAAGCACACGGACACACGGATTTAGATACAGTGTTTAGACAGAACACTTTCAGTCTGCACTGCACGGGCACCAGCTATGGAAACTACAGAGTAACTGTCAAGCAAAATGTCATCTGTATTAGTATTGCTTTCATTAAGTTACAGGGGTGACAGAATCAGAGGAAAAACTGCTTTCCATTTTCTTGTGCATTGGATGGGCTCAAGAACGTCTTACTTTGCCTCTGCACACAGAACGAACACAATCTGTGACTTGTCCTGTCTCGAGCCTGAAGGCCCGGCATCGCCTCAGCTCCTGGTCCCACAGTTTAACTGCTCCTCCTTCTTTTGACCTAATAAAAAAGCAAACCCAAATAAGTGTTTATTATTGACTATTACAAATAAATTGCATTATGAAGATAATGCAAAATATTGTAAGAATATTTTTAAAGCCCTGATACTTATAATATCTTAAACTTTCAATGGCAATTTCAAAATATATTTATCTCAGGAGAACATTTAGTTTTAGCAAATTTTATTTTGTGAACTATTTTCTGACAATTTTATTTAGCCTTAATTTAATTTACCATAAATGATCCTCTTGTGATACCTCTTAAGGTACAAAGCAGTTTTTAACATTAAAAGGATAACTGAAATTCGAAGTGAGGTAAGATCACAGATGGCTGTGCTAGAGTCTGTTCTGAACGGTTGAAAGCAGCACAAGCTGGATGTGATGGCACCCACCTGTCATCTCCGCACTCTGGAAGGTTGTGGCAGGAGTGCACGTGTGACTCAGGCCTGGGTAGCTTAGTGAGACCTTGTGTCAAAAAGGAGTAGAGATGGAACTCAGTGTGGAGGTTCTGGGTTCAAGCCCCAGGACTGAGGAACACATTTTTTTCTCTCCTACCGTGATTAAAATATCCTACTGAAGCAGGTTAGTAGGTTACTAATGAGTAGGGGTGTACAAAACAAAACAAGGCGATGTGGGAAATACAGCTGTTTGGAGTGATACGTTAGGGAAAATATAGCCCACATAATGGATTCTTCTCTTTGAAGAACTGAAAAATGTAGTCCTTCATTTTGTTAGATGAATTTGCTTGTCTTAGGCTAAAACATGCTTGTGTACCATACTAGTTTCATGTGAAAAGGAAACATACAGTTGTGTTTAACTTGTAGTTTTTAGTCACATGTCACATTTCAACATGTAGATGACTATGTTGGTTGTAAATTGATTATATGTGTCTGGATACTGTTGGACTCAGTCACATTTACATTTTGAGGTCTTTTTATAAAGCAATTTATGTAACAAGTTTGCCTCAAGTAAAAAGCAAACAAAGTCTGTCTAGCATCCTCTTGTCATTTTTTCATCCCACTGTGCATTTTATCTCTCAGCACCCAAAAAAAGAAGATAGCACAGACAATACAGTCTGGTTCAGTGCTAAATATTCTTTTGCATGTCCCCTATCAGCAAATTCTGATGCTGGCATACAGGCATTAGGAAAATCAGATTTTGTTTTTGTGTAGTGGGGATTGAACCCATGGCCTCATGTGTAATGGGTAAATGCCCTGCCTCTGAACTACATCCCCAAGTCTTTTAAAATTTTATTTTTGAGACAAGGTCTTCTAACAAGCCCAGGCTGGTCTTAAACTTCAGGTCCTCCTGCCTCAGACTAGCTGTCATGCATCACCATGGCTTGCAAGGAAAATCAGTTCTCAGTGTATAGGACACATGCCTAGCCATGCCACAGAAGTTCCACCCTAACTGGAGTCTGGATGTGATTTAAAACCAGGAATGAGAATCCAGGAAGAGCATGTGTAGAGAAAAACTAGAGAGAATAACCTGTGGAGCCTAGAAATAACTACAGTACCTAACTGCAGACCTTGGGTACAGCACAGATGCGTAAGTATTCCGTGAAGCTACAAAAAGAAGACTCACGGCCTTTCCTTGCCACCAGTCACAATAAGTCCATCTCGCAGGGTGGTATACATGGCAAACACAGGCCCATTGTGAGCTCTGGCCACAACTCTACACAGCACGTGATCTTTCCACACACAGACGTCACCACTGATGGTACCTGTAAACGTCAAGTTATTCTGAAAAGGAGTGGGGAAAGGGGGAGACAAATTCATCAAAAGTTCAGAGAATTCAAATAGATGCAATTGTCTATGTGAGTGTAACGCTATCTCACCACAAAGCACATGCAAGGCACAGTGGAGCCATTCACTCAAGGCCGGAAAACCAGCTTCCTCAGGGCCTTTTCCTTTTCCAAGGCTGTCACTTAGCAGATGGAACAACCTTGGGCAATCCTCTCCTTCCAATTCTAAAATACTCTTTTGATTGCTTCCCTCTGACTGCCCGTAAACAAAGGTTGCTAGTCTTTGAGAGTATAACAAAGAACAGGAATAGGAGGTGAAGATAACTTTGTATTAGGTGTGGAAGAATTCTGTCATAGGAAGTAAAACTATTAACACCAAATTTGTAGGGGTTTTTCGGAACCCATTAACCTAGATCTAGAAGTATCAGTAATTCGTGCCTTTCTGCAATTAGAATGTAAATGATTCAGGTACAGAGACCAGTATTTTCCTTTGTGTTTTTTGAGACAGGGTGTCACTCTACTCCAGGCTGGCCTTTAACTATGCAGACCATGCTGTCCTCAACTCACAACATCTTCCTCAGCTTCCTGAGTGCTGAAAATACAGGCATGTACCACCACACCCAGGCTCTTATACTTTTTATAGTCCCTAGTATAGACTCAAAGTGCTTAAACTAAACATCATGTAGTATCCCACAAATATGTACGGTTTTTGTATTTTTACATATCAACTAAATACATTTTAAAAGTTTAAACCAATAGAAAGTATAAAACATTCTCTGATTGCACTGTTGCTGTGTATGTAAAAAGTCATTTATTTCTAATATTTTACTCAAGTATATTTTATTGGGAATGTGCAATTAACTACACAAGGAATTTTATAAGTAAAGAAAGTTCATTTACATGGGGGAATTAAAAAAACATAATAAAGACATGTGAATGTGTGGAGTTTTCTTCCAGAAGCAAACTACTGGTCTTATTAAATACTCAAAATGTTCAACTGAAGTCTGACATATTATCACTAATATTTCCAGTGGTCTTTTTCTCTGTAGGAGTATTAAACTCCAATTTTCTTCCTTCAAATATTTCATTCTCACATGAACCTTTGAATAAGGAAATCCCACTGCATTTTTTTTTGCATCAAAGGATGTAAGAAGCCTAGCCAGGGCAGGGTGTTGAAGGGAAGATGTATGAATGTATTATAACCCACAGGCCCACATGGACTGGAGGAGGGGAGAAGGAGGAGAGCTTTTGAATACTATTACATCAAGACCAAGAACAGTGCCTGCTCTTTCCTTTTGTGACTCTCACTCTTCTTGCCTTGAAGTAGAGATGTTGGCCTACAGCACTTACAACATACATATAAGCAAGGACTTACAGAAACCAAAGGAAATCTAAACCCAAGTCTGACCTTAAGACATGAAAATCATGCTTCTTGATTTAACTTTCTTTTACTCTGTCAAATTTTTAGATGCATGAGGAACTACTAGGAAGATACATTTTGGGATACTTAAGGCGAGAATTACAATACTAATGAAGACCTTGGAGACTAGCAATGGCCCAGTGACCTAAATGTTTCATCATAATCCTCATTAATTTTTCCACTCCCTAACTTCCAAAAGTATCAGATGTTTGAGTGATGAAATATATGCATGACTGGGACATGTAACGACTGGTAGATTACAATGGCATACCAACAACTTTAATGTGGCTCATCTAAGGCAATACAATTTAAAGTAGGCAAAATGATACCACCATGTAGCATTTTAAGAGACATACTGCACCAAATGCAACGGCAAGCATGGTCTGCATCCGGGCATCTTCCAGCATGCTCAGCAGCCCTTTTTTGCTAAGAAGAGCCCTTCCTGCCAGCGTCCAGAATTTCACGTGTTTTACTCCCACAGAGACAAACTGGGTATCTGAATCTGGTCGGAATTCAGCTACAAAAATTCGCTGATTGTGCCCAGCTCTGCTGGCAATTTTGGTACCTGATAGAGAAGATACAACAATACACACACTTCATCTTCATTCTTAAGATCCTCCAGAATCAATCAAATCAGTAATAATTAGCAAAGAAACATAGTTTCTAAGCAAAATGGCAGTGAATCTTATTCTGATACCCATAGATACATTTTTATTGGAACGTCTGTTTATATATTGTCTTGCTGATCTGAACTGTAAGAGCAAAATTCAGTAGCTGACAGAGACTAAATGGCCTGCAAAGGTAAAAATGTCGGCCATGTGGCTCTTCACAGACAGTATGCTGGACCCCTGGCCTCATCAAAACTCTGAGGCAGGGGTGGGAACCTGGGAGCTATAAGCACTTGTTTCTTTCTACTTACCCAAAGAACAAAAATGTTGAGCCTGCTTTCTTGTCATTCACCAGTTAGAGTTTAACTTCCACATCCAGACAAATGATGCATTTGCTTGTTGAGTCTATTATCTGCCACAGCCCTTGAATCATTTGTTGTTGTTTTTTGTTTTTTGTTTTGGTACTGGGGATCAAACTCAGAACCTTGTGCTTGCGAGGCAGGCGGTGGCACCACTGAGCTAAACCCCCGGCCCCCCATGAATCATTTTTAATACTAATAGTTTTGTTAATTTATGTTTTGTGGGCTTATCATTTCACTGGGCTTTTAAGATGAAACATACCTACAGTACCACCAACTGTGTGACATGTACTACTTTGTAGGGCTATAGTGATAAAGGTTTCTCCAACTTAATACAGAATTCTTATTAACCTAGTATATATATATATGTGCGTGTGTGTATGTGATATATATATACATATACATATATATATTTATTTATTTATTTATTTTGGTATCATGGATCAAACTCGGGACCTTGTGCTTGTGAGACAGGCAGTGGCACCACTGAGCTATATCCCCAGCCCCAGTATATATATATTTTTGAGACAAAGTCTCACTATGTAATGTAAGCTGGCCTTGAACTCACTTTGTAGCCTAGGCTGGCCTTGAAATTCATGATCTTGTCTCCAGAGAAGACAAGAGTGCTGGAATTATAGGCATGTGTCACCACACTCCTAGTATTCTTGCTAAAAAAAAAATTACAAAAAGAATCCTACCTTCCTGCCATCTCCAGATGGTAATAGTATGTTCTGGGTCAAGTCCCACAGACAGCAATAGTTTGCCAGTAGCACTGAAGCTGACTGAACACACTCCCTTTGAATGGTAACATCTTAGTATAGATAAAGTTTGCTTGTTCACTGCATCCCAGATGTGGATAGAAGGGGCTGTGGCTAAACAAAGATAAAATTCAAAAGTTGTGATTGACCTGTTGTTTCTACTTCCAAAGGTGATACATGTCAATTTCTGAAAAAGAAAAGTATATACCAAAAAACTATACTTAACAAAGAATAGCTCAGAATTAAGATTAAATTTTAAAAAGGAAAGGAAGGGGAAGGAAAAGGAAAAAAAATGTATAGACAAGAATACATCTCCAGGCTATGTTCCAAATTATACTTTTGAGAAGACAGCATTTAGATAAGCAAATTGGGTAATTGTGACATTAAGCAACTCATCAAAAATATGGCATGCTTGGGACAGGAAGTGTAGCACAATGGCAGAGTGGATGCTTAGCAAGGACAAGGCCCTAGGTTTGAGCCCTAGCACCTGCTGGGGGGAAAAGGCATGTTTTACATACACTTTTAATCTTTATATAACTAGAGACCTATGTATATTTTACACAAGAAATATGTTAAATACAAGCACACATTCAATACTGGTGTTATCTGGAGGAGAAGATACAGCTGAGGAAGGTAACACATTAGGAAACTACCTGAACAGATCTCAAAAGAAATTTTTAATGACATAGTTACCTAGTAAAAAGCTATATATCACTTAACTATTTTAAAAGGCAGATTTCTTGGAAAAGATAAAACTTCAAATCTTTAAAAATACATTATCCATCATTTCTGTTGCTTTAAAAGTTTCAGGGTCCCCCCCCCCCCAGTGCTGGGGATCTAACCCAGGGCCTCACACATGCCCATACAGTGCTCTACACTGAGGTACAATCAGTCCAATTCTCTGCATTTTCTACCTTAAAACGTCATACATCTGTATTGTCCTTTTTAAATGATCTGTACCCTATAGAAACGAATACCTAAGTTAATCTGGCAACTAATTTAGTTTCAAAGCATAATTAGTAAATATTAAAGTGCATTTATTTCAGATTATGTGATAAATCTTAGAAAAATAGAGTAACATGAAACAAGACAAGCTGTTTTAAATTATTTGATGAAGAAAGACACTTTGGTCACTAAAATATATTCTGATAAATTTATATATTTTACATAGTGGTATTTATAAGTTAAATCTAATAATTCTTCAAATAAAGCAGCTAACATTAAAACAGATTTAAATATCATCAAACAGAAATTGTTCAGATTATGCAACTGTAAAATATCAAAACTAAAGGGAAATAGAAAAGTTCTCCAATAATAGAACAGGTTACTTATTTATTCTTTTTGTTGTTTTTGTTTTTTGTTTTTTGAGGCAAGATCTCTCCATGTAGTTCAGGCTAGCTTTAAAAGAACTCATTATGTACCTCGGGCTGTCCTCAGACTCATGGCACCTCCTCCTGCCTCAGCCTCCCGAGTGCAGGGATTATAGGCATGCACCACCACACTTGGCTAAAACAGGTCATTTATGTTTGAAAAATTTATCACAATAATTTAAGCACTGAACTAAAATCAGAATGTTCATTCATTTAAACTCTAATATTCTGTGGCACAGGTAAACTTAATCTCACACATTCAACCCAGATTCTCCAAAATGGACCACATACTAGGCCACAAAGCTCACTTAAATAAATAAAGAATTAAGAATCCCATGCATATTAGTAGACCACAGTACAATGAAACTAGAAATTAATGGCAAAACCCTCACAGAATTTATGTAAACACATGGAGATTAAACAATATACTCTTGAATAACCAATGCATCACAGAAGAAATCAAGTAAAAAAATTTAAAAGTTCCCTAAATCAAAGGATAATGCTACTACAACATATCAGAACTTATAGAGCCCAATGAGAGCAGTCCTTATAACTCTGAATGCCCATGCTAGAAAAACTGTGACCCTGAATAAATAACCAAATGATGCAGTTCAAGGACCTAAAAAAAGGAAAAGAAATCAATAACAATCTAAATCTAAAACTAATACAAGGAAGGAAATTCTAAAGATCAGAGTAGAATTAATGAAATTGAGACTAAAAAAAAACAATATGAAGAGTCAATGAATTAAAGAGCTGAATCTTCCAGAGAAAAAACAAAATAGACAAATCCTTAGGCCAAACTTAACAAAAGATGGAAAGAAAACTCATATTAATGCAATTAAAAATGAAAAAGGTGACATCATACCAAACAACCTGAAATCCAGAGGATTATAAGTAACTACTTCAAAACTTTATTGGAAAATATACAAGAAAGGAACACATTTCTAAACACACAAATGAATTACCAAAACTGAACAAAGAAGATATAAAAATACTGAACAGTATAAAAACAGACAATGAAATTGGGGGGTAATAAAAGACCTATCAGCTAACTAAGAAAACCCCAGAACCCAATGAATTAATCACTGAATTCTATAAGAACCTCATGGAAGGTGTAACATCAATACTCCTCAAAATCTTAAATGAAATTGAAAAGGAAGGACTACTGCCAAACTTATTCCTGAAAGCTAGCTTTATCTTGATACCACAACCAGCCAAAGACTTAACAAAAAAGAAAAGTCCTGGCCAGTCTCTTTAATGAACACATGCAAAAACCCTCGACAAGATACTGGCAAACAGAATACAACAAATCATTCAAAAGACCATACATTATGACCAAATTCGCTTCATCTCAGGGATACAAGGATAGTTCAACATACGTCAATTAATAAATGTAATATATCACATAGGACAAAAATCACACAATCATCAAAACAGACAAAAAAGCTAGACAAAATCCAGCATGCATTTACTCCAAAAACCATGACAACAACAAGCTTGGGAGGGCCTTATCTCAATTTGATAAAAGCCATTTTTTTTTTGGTATGGGGATCGAACTCAGGTCCTCGTGCTTGCGGGGCAGGCGGTGGAACCACTGAGCTAAATCCCTGACCTGATAAAAGCCATTTTTGACAAACTCACAGTCAATATCAAATTAAGTGGGAAAAAAACCCCAAAGTATTCCCTTTAAAATGAAGAACAAGACTAAGATGTCTGCTCTCATTACTCCTGTTTAATACAGAACTCAAAACTTTAACCAGAGCAATGTGACAAGGGAAATAAAGGGACATATAGAGGAAAGGAAGAAGTCAAAGTATCCTTATTTACAGATGACATGATCCTTTACATAGAAGGCCCTAAATATTCCACCAGAAGACTTCTAGAACTAGTAAACACAATTAGCAAAGTATCAGGATACAAAATCAACACACAAAAATCAATAGTGCTCCTGCATACCAATAATGAACCCACCAAGAAATCAGGAAAACCATTCTATTCATGGTAGCTTCAAAAACCAAACAAGAATATGTAACAATTAACCAATCCAAAGAAGTGCAAAACTTTTACAATGAAAACTACAGAAAAAGGAGATCAAAGAGGACATTAGAAAATGGAAAAGCACTCCTGTTCCTGGATAGGCAGAATAAATATTGTCAAAATGGTCATAGTTCCAACCAAATCCCAGCAGCATTCTTCACAGAACTAGAAAAAATAACTCTGAAGTTCACAGGGAATCAGAATAGACCCAGAATAGCAAAAGCAGTCCTGGGAAACAAAAGCAAGAGCAGGAGGCATCACAATGGTGGATTTTAATTTACATTAAACAGTGATAGTCCGAGGACCACAACAAACGTGAGTCAGTGAGACAGAGCAGAGGACACAGAGGCAACCAGAGGCACATTTACAGGTGTGACCTTTGATAAAGCAGCCAAAACAGACGTCTGAAGAATGAGCCTCTTTAGCAAATGCTGCTGGGAAAACTGGTTATCCACATGCAAAAGATTGAATCTAGACCCATGTATCTCATCAGGCGCTAAAACGAAATAAAAACTGATCAAAGACCTAGATAACAGAACAGAAACACTGAATCTGCTGGAAAATAAGTAAAATTCCTGACGACATAGGCAGAGGCAAGGACTTTGAATAGAACCCAAAATGCACAAGAAATAACACCAAGAATACAGAGGACTAATATATAGAATACATAAAGAACTCAGAAAATTAGACCCCACCAAATAAAAGACCCAACAGAAATGGGCAATTGAGATGAAAAGACACTTCTCAGAAGAAGCACAAATGGCCAACAAATTCATGAAAAAAATGTTCACATCTTTGGCCACTGCAGAAATGCAAATCAAAACAACAGTGAGATTCTATCCTACTCCTGAAAAAATGGCTATCATCAAGAATTTAAAAAACAACAAATGCAGGTGAGGCAGCAGGAAAAAAAAAAAAAGGAATTCGTTACTCCTTGGTGAGAATGTAAATTAGTACAATCACTATGAAAATCAGTATGGGGATGCCTCAAAAAACTAAAAATAGTAATTTCATTCAACTCAGCTATCCCTCTACTGTGTTTCTTCCTGAACTAATTAAAGACATATTCCAATAATACATGCATACCCATGTTCATATCAGCACAACTCATAATAGGTAAATCTTGGAAGTGGTCTATATGATCAACAGATGACTGGGTAATGAAAATGTCACACACACACACACACACACACACACACACACAGTACTATTCAGCCTAAGGAAGGATAAATTTGAATAATTTGTAGGAAAATGAATGCACCTTGAGACCATAATGCTACATAGGTTAAATATTGCCTGGTTTCTATTATATGAGAAATTCAAATTATAAATAATTGAAAGAGCAAAACGGGTCAGCTAATATGAAACAGGAAAGTAGACCTTTTGCAGATAGGAAGGGGATCCTGAGATGAAGGGAAAAGGGAGGGGGGAAAGGGAAAGTAAAAAGGATTAAGATGTGATATGTACATGTCTCAACTCCTCATGATGAATGTGCTATGTATCACAAATATGTACTAATAAAAAAGAATATTAAGAATTTTGCAACTATGCTCATTATGTATATTGGTCTGTAGTTTTAAATTTTTGTTCTTGAGTGTTTATCTGGCTTTGGTACCAGGGTAATGCTGGCACATGTAGAATAAATTTGGAAGCATTCCTTTTCTATTTGATGGAGAAGTTTGAGGAGCATTGTTAATTCTTTTTTTTTTCCTGCAGTAGACTCATAGAGTCCTGGGCTTTTCTTATTGGGAGAGGTTTTATTATGGTTTAAATCTTATTGCTGGTTATTGACCTAGTTAAGATCTTTTATATCTTCTTGGTTCAATTTGGGTAAGTCATATGTGTCTAGGAATTTATCCATTTGTTCTACATTCACCAATTTATTCGAATATAAGTTTCAAAACAGATTCTAGTAATCCTCTGGATCTCAGTGGTATCTCATAATTTAGCCCATTTTAACTTTAATTTTATTAACTTGGGTCTTGCCTTTCTTTTGGTAAGCCTGGGTAAGGATTTATCCATCCATCTTATTTCTTTAGTTTATACTTATTTTGGAAGATATTTCTCCTTTGACTTTTGACAGATATATCAGAATATATTATCCTATGGTGGCATACACGTGCGTGTGCATGTGTGTGTGTGTGTGTGTGTGTGTGTGTGTGTGTTTCAAGCCCCAAGGGCTTTAGAAATTTTGCTGCTATTATGATAGATTTGCCATGATAAATGTTGTGGTGTTTCTAACAGCTTTCTAAGAAATTTTAGTTTATTAGTGCCAATGTGTTGTATATAGTGTTTACATTCCTTGTGGTATGTTGGTACATGGAACAGCTTTTCATATTCTTTGTTCTGAATTTTTGGCAATTTGACTATGATATGTCATGGGGAGGTTGTCTTTTGGACATGTGTATTTGGGGTCCTAAATGCTTCTAGTACTTGGATATCTATTTCATTCCTCAGATGTGGAATTTTTGTCTATAATTTCAGTGAATAAGTTTTCTATAATATTAGCCTGTGGTTCTTCATCTTCCTGGAGGCAAGAGTCTTAACTTTATTTTTTTTTTTTAAGCATTTTCCAAGAGCGTTTGAATATTCTGTTGATTCTGATTCTTTATTACTGTCTGAATGTTCTAGTACATCTTTGGAAATAAAAAAGTTCAGCTTTGACACTTTCAATACTACTGGAAAACTTTGAAGCATAGGGTTTATAGCCATAAGGGCTGCTTCGTATTCCTCTAACTGGACTGTTTCCCAGGAAGTTAATCCTCATCTTTGGCTTCCATGTCTTCTGTATCATCATCTCCATTCACTTCTGCATTTTCTCTCTCAAGCCTCTTCAGTTGCCTCTCAAGTTCATGTATCTGTGACCCCTTTGGGCTCCATCTGAACACTAAACACACCCACCCTCTTTCCCTCAGTCTTTGCTTTGATAATAGCCATAGCTTGACCATGGACTGAGAGGCCTTCTGTTCTCTCCAGAATTGTTGTATTCATTACATACTGAGCAGGCACTATTAATCTTGGTGGTCATGGTCTCTGTAGAAAAATTCAAATCTATTCTCAGAGCTTCTTCTATAGCATCAATACCTTCTTAATCATAACGAGCCATATCAGCATCTGCTCAAATTTTTATATTGTGTGGAGTCAAATGCCTATTAATACTAATGAGTACTTCCTTTTCACTTTCAAATATAAACTATCCAAAATAGATGAGTCTGAGACTGCATGCACAAATGCATCATCGGCACCATAACGAGGTCTCTGTTATGGTCATCAAAGACTCAGGCAGCCCTCTGGAACAGGCTTTCCAGCTTCTCATCCTTGGTGTACTCTCTAACACCTCAGCAACATGACAAAACTATAAACAGTTTTGGATTTTGTGAATTTGTCTTCACATGTGATTGATTTCTCTGTCGAAACTTTTTTTTCCTGAAAAACCAATATATCATTTTTTCCTTTGTCCACTCTAATAAGAACCACCTATTCATTCCTGATAATTTGGATAAGGTTGTTTTATAGAATGGACATAACTTCTGGGTAAGTCACTAAGAAGAATCATGCCTTTCATGTGGTTGTATTCCAGCAAGCTTACACAGATCCTGTTTAATCAATGGACCTTACATTTACCATTACTACTATATCTTCACCCTTCAAGAAATTTGTATTGATAAAATCTACAATTTAGACCCAGTATTCTGAGGTATATGTGTGAATGTTGCACTAAGATCTCATGCTGTGCTCTTTCAATTGGAACAATCAGATCCTTCTGTCTTGTCTTTAACTGACTTCTGATGGTGTCTCTAATGTCTTCAAGTCTTTTAGCAACTATTTTTGCCCAAAAGGTAGCAAACAAGTTTATTTTCTCTAGACACATTTCTTCATGTGCTACAATCAAATATTCAGTTAACTCACTGTGATTTAATTAACTTAGCATTAGTAAATATCTTTTCTTTTTTTTTGTTTTTTGGTACTGGGGATCAAACTTGGGACCTTGCACTTGGAAAGGGAGGCTGCAGAACCACTGAGCTAAATCCCTGGCCCTGTAAATATCTTTTCTTGATTGGTTACAAAATAATCTACTCATACTTGTTTTGGTTATAGCCTGATGTTCTTTTTCTTTTCTTTTCTCTTTGTAGTACTATGGATTAATCCCAGGCACTCATGAATTCTATGCAAGTGTCATACCTCTGAACTATATCTCAACTCTTTATTTTTTTTTGTTTTTGAGACAGGGTCTTACAATGTAACTCAGGCTGGCCTTGAACTCACTATGTAGCCCAGGCTGGCCTCAAACTTGTGGCAATCCTCCAGTCTCAGCTGAGCATTGGGATTACAGGTGTGCACCACTATGCCCGACAGCTCTTTATGTTCTGAGACAGGCTTTTACAGGTTTCGCAGGCTGGCCTCAAAACTGTAACCCTCCTGGCCCATCCTCCAGTATAGCAGGGATTACAGGAGTGAACCACAATGCCTCATTCCTGTTTGGTTTTTGTGAAGAAATTTTTGCTATCATTAAGAGGTTGTATTTCAAATTTTCTAATTTGGGCTTAGCATGCATGAGGCCTTGAGTTTTAACACCACACAGGAAATAGTGATTATTCTTTTAGCACAGCTATAGTGTCATTCCATAACATACACAATGGTTTACCCTCTCATTTGATGACAACATAATCCTTACTTCACTATGCCTTAAAAATATAACATTCGAAGTTCACTTTTCTTTTTTCCCTGTTGTTTTGACATCATGGAGATGCACTGATTAAAAAACAAAGTAAAACATTGTGGTACAGGAATATGTACAGGACCTATAATCCATGAAGTTACAATTGTGTCTCCGTAACTTGTAGTATGCCAAGCAGCAGTCCAAAGTGATGACAATGCCATATTCAGTGTCTGCTGCATCTATTTAACTTTACCATTATAGCACAGACGCTACCACATTCAATATGTTACGGAGCATGGCTGTGTCCCAAAAAAGCTGTATTTAGGGACACAGAAATTTGAATTTCATTTATTTCTCAACTGTCGTGAAATTTCACTTTTCTTTTGATTTTTCCCAACTATTTAAATTAAATGTATCCTTAGCTCATGAGCTGTACAAAAGCTGGAGAAAGGCCAGATACTGTCTGTATGCCATGGTCTGCAAACCCCTGCTCTCAAATGTGACCAAGAGAGCAAGGTCAGTGGCTGCTGCTGATTAAACTAGTAATTACTTAGTCAAGGCAAAAAATCATACTTCCCTGAAAGAGGGAAGGGAAATAGAAACAAACCTCTGGAGAATGTTTTCTTATTAAACTAATTATGATATTACATAAATTTAAAACACAGTTGAAAATTCCAGTTATTATAATATCTAATAATAATGGATATGCCTTCATAAAGGTATGGTCAAAATAAATAATAAAAGTTATTTTAAAAGGTTTAAATGATCTGCTGATCAAATTCAATAATTGTGATACTATATAAAAATATATTTCAAAAAGAGTTATTTGCAGTACTAGGTGTTGAACACATGGTCTTGAACATGCTAGGCAAATATGCCTTAACCCAAGATTTTATTCTTAGGCAATAAAATTTATTGATTTATATTTAAAGTTTAATCCTACCTGTGGGGGTCAACTCCCATTTCTCAGATACTATGCATGAACTCTACCACTAAGATGACTCCCAAGCCCCACCCACCTCTACTTTTACAGCTATTATGTTAGTATGTCACTATCAGGAAGAATTTTTATGATGATTAAATGAAGTAATATATGTAAAGTGCTTAGAATAGTTATGGGTACACTAAAAAAGTTCATAACATTAGTTTTTTGTTTTTTGCTTTTGGTATCGGGGATCAAACTTAGGACCTTGCTTGTGAGACAGGCAGTGGGACCACTGAGCTAAATCCCCGGCCCCATAACATTAGTTTTTAAAAAAACTACCTTTTTACAGATTTGGCTCAGTATCAGGACATTAAAATGATGTATTCTTCATTTAAAAAATTAAGCTTTTTGCAGATAAATAAAAGACTTGGATGCAAGTAATAAAATACACCCAATGAATTAAAAAAAAAAAAGATACTCCCAAGTATCTTATTACTTCATACAAATTTGGGCTATCATTACCAAACAATGTAACTAAAATAGATAATGTTTAATTTCCCTTACCTGACATGTCTGCTGAATCACCTAGAAAAGCAGTACAAAAATAATTATTCATATGTACCATAAATATTACCAATAAAATTTGCAAAACCTAATTCTAAAATAATTTAAACATGTGAAATTAGTTTTACTACACTGTAAATCTTAATTATACATGTTAACATTGTATGTTTGACCTTTCAAAACTGCTTTGGATAAAAAATTATTTACTTTGAATTTAATTAGTTCCATGAAAATTTAATTATTACATCATTAAAAATAGTATTGATAAGATTTAGCCTGATATGACTTATTTTGGTTTAGAAAAGGCACTGTTAAATAGGCCTTCTGGAGTTTCAGGGCAACTCTATTTGCAGTGAAGAATTAGATATAAACTTCTTGAAGAAAATGACAGCAAAAGTTACTGTAAAACTTAAGAAAGTTCTTTTAAGTAAAGATTTTCCATATGAATAAAAGTTTGCCAAGAAAAATAATGCTTGTTATATGTGTGGTGGAAATACTCATTAACAAAACTTGAAAAAGTGAGTCATAAGAAAAGAAGGAGTAAAAATTGAGGAATCCATTCAAGATTGGCGATTGCTTTTTGCATTCATCAAGCCTTATATCCATATGAAATAATGATTTCAAGGACATATTGATAACACATACCCGTAATGTCTTGGCCTGCATGCAGTATGAGGGAAGGCAGAATAAGCCGCTTGACCCTGCTGTGCAGACCACACCAGAAATACTGCTTTTAGTCCTGGACCTACTCAGATAACCTCCAAATGGCAAGAGGACTTTGCAATTATTCACATGAAGACTGGCTGATGAAAGAGATTATGCCTCTCCATGAACAAGGTTTGGGACAAGAGTACAGATGAAGGGTAGAACACTGCAGGTCTAAATATTTTAGTTATCAATCCAGATAAAATTATCAAATGAAGTATTTTTATTTTCTTTCTGATGAGTAGATTCCTATAATGACCTGGAAGACCTGGTACAAACTGAGAGCTTCTTGAAGTTTGAGGCTGTTTACTGAGGAGTTCCAATGAACAGGTACTCCTGGCAACCCCTCTAGGGTGCACATATGGGTTGTGCAGTCTGCTATAGGGAGGATGAACTCTAAGGAAAGACTCAGGCCCCTAAGCAGGCTCAGGACTCAGTAGATAACTCTAGAATTTCAAATACCCCAAATCTGGTCCTATAGAGAGGGAATCTCCCTCCGGGAAAAGTAATCTGTTGTTCTCATATCCTACTGCCAGATTATAGGTGGAAGATGTCTAACATGGGCCTTCTAAAAAGGAAGTACTACATAAAACTCATTGAGAATATGGTAGTTGTCTCCAAAACTAGAAAATAAAGTCAGTAATAAGTGATTAGATGTTGCAGGCACTCCAAGAATGAAACCAATAATAGCAATCACAGATTTTTGTTCTATATGAAAACTACTTGTAAAGGAGCTGACTAGGGAAAGGCTAGACTACTTCACTGGGCATAAAATGCTGCCGGAGTTCAAGTACATAATGATGAACTGGATAAAATGGTTATATTTGACCTTGAGATTCCAAGATTCTAGCGAAGAAAAAAATAAACTCTATATGTAACTGGCTAAAATATCACAAAATCAAATATTTCAATTCCTCTATGGTCTGTATGATTTTTAACAAAAAAAACTATAAGCAATTTAATTTTGGCAGCAAAGTAAATAGTGATCAGTCCTTTTTATGTCCAGAAGAAAAAAATGTGCCTCATTTGTTAGTCTTCCCTTGAATTTATCTTACATTCAATTAGTTATCAGTGAATCATTTTTGTTATCCATTTTGTAGAAAGATATAAATAGGGCTAACCACAGGGATACACATATAATCTAAAATTCACCTCTGTGCTGCCAGAATTTGCCTTGGAAAAACAGAGGGGGAAATGATGAGATGTTCCATATTCTCTATAGGGATGCCTTTCAAAATAAAGGGAAAGAGGTGGAAAAAAGACCAAATTTCTGAGAGATTAATCTATGACCATGACGGTTCTTAACTAAAAGAAAACTAGAAAAGGAAAAATAAAAGAACCAAAGAAAGAACAATATCTTCTTAGGATTTTATTCACAGAGCATAAATTCCACTAATGTAAGATTTTGTCTTATCACAACCTGTTTGTATCCCCAGAGCCAAGACAATACCTTGCAATATCAGGTGTGTAATAAGTTTGTCGCATAAATAAATTTACTTGATAAAACTTTACAGAGCAATTAACTATGATCTAAGAGGCACAGAACCAGGTATTTAGGTAATGCAGTCTTTACTCCTTTAGGAAGTAGGCCTTCTTCTATCTGTAGAGTGAATCAAGACTTCACTTTCAAAGAACTCAGTGCAAACAGAGCTAGACATACAAGTACCAAATCCAGCTATTTCAGCCATTATACAATAGTTTATTTTAAATTAGTCTAAATGAACTCAGACAAGCAAAGTAAGAGATTTGGAAGCAAATCATATGGTAAAATTTGGTATATGCTTTACATACAAATTGATTTTTTAAAATCCATAATTATATTTTAATATTTTCTCCAGGAAATTAAATTCATTTCAACAAAACAAATGCTTCAAATTGCTTCTTTTTAAAATAGACAAACATACCTACTTGGCCAGTTGCCACTATGTTGATAAATTTGGGGTGCTGATTTACAGTGAGGCACAGAATATCATCATTATGCTCCTGATAAAAACTTTGAGTGCCTGTGAAGAAAGAATTTGAAAACTGAGTTTGAAAATTTTAAGATGTGACAGGCAAATTCAAGTACCTAGTGCAATAAATTACTTATTTGTTTATTCAATGCGTACTTTTTGAGCCCTTATTCTGGGCACATAATCACAAGGATAGAAAAGAATCAAAAGTTTTAAAGAACAGAGCCCTGAAAGGGATAAACTGTAATACAAGGCTGAACCCATCAAGTGCCACAAAGATGTAATTAGCAAAGATGCTATGGAAATTCAGCACAGAAAGGATTATTCTTGTCACAGGAATATGGCACTGTAACCTGGATGGTGGTGGATAGGGAAGGCTATTCTAGGCAGAAGACACTTTAAGCAAAGGCACACAAGCAGGAAAGTGTTTGGTATACATCCAGCTGAAGTGGAAGTTATGAAAAAGAAAAGTGAACAATATGATTTTAAAAAGAAGTAGGAACTAGAACTATGGGAGATTCTGAACACTAGACTATGATCTTTCTGTTTTGGTTTCCTAAAAAAAAGATTCACTGAGGTCACCCTGAAACCAGAGATAATTTTTTCACCTAACAACTGAGCCATATTTATTGCATATTTCATATCTTTATGTAGTCAGTGAAGGGGGAATGCAGTTTTTTTTATCAAAGCATTAATGTGATTCATCTAGCAGTATTGACTCTGAAGAGACCTTAGATAGGTAATACAACTAGGCTTGTGCAAGTAAATAACAAGATAGGAAATGAAGTCAGAAAAGTAGGTTTGATCCAGTTATAGAGGATCACGAACACCAAGTCTCCCTTCACCCCAAAACCAAAACCAAAAAAACCTCTCAACTATATTTAACAGGTCTACTATTACTTTAAAAATTCTCAAAGTGGAATGTGCTTTGTACTTTCCAGGACAGAGAGCTGGTCCAGTTAAAGGAGCAAACAACTAATTATGGGTTGGTAGATGAGTTGGTAGAATATTAATTAATAGAATTAAAATTTCCTGCTGGTTGTTGTGGTACCATAATTTCAGCACTGGAAAGGCTGAGGTAGAAGGATTGCTTCGAAGTTGAGGACAACCTGGGGTATACAGTGAGTTCAATGCGAGAATGAAATATTCACAGCGAGACTCTGTCTCAAAAGGAAAATGAATTAGATTTCTATTATGAACATGGCAATGTATCCCTAAACAAGTGAGATACCATGTACTGAGAACTGAAGCAAGTGTCTAGTCTCCCCTGCTCTCTCAACACTCTGCTATTAGAAAGGTGATTAATTACAAATAAATTTAACAGCTGGTGCACATTGTAATTCCAGCACTTGGGAGGTGTAAGCAACAGGGTAGAGAGTCTGAGGTCAGCCTGGACTACATACATAGAAAGACCCTGTCTCAACAAAACAAAACAGAATTACAAGTATAAAAATGACAGTTTATTTACATATTTATTACTTTCTTGTTTCACTTATTTTACTCTTCCTTATTATCTTGAATGATATGGGAAGCTGCAAAAGATTTTTTTCCTAAGGAATGTTTTATATTTGTTTATTGTTTTGTTTTGTTTTGTTTTGTTTTTTTGGTACCGGGGATCGAACTTGGGACCTTGCGCTTGTGAGGCTGGGGCTGGAACCACTGAGCTAAAAACCCGGCCCAAGGAATGTTTTTTAAATGGTCCAAATTATGAAATGGGAAGTTACCACTGATTTCACATGATCCTGATTAATTTTCTTTTTTGGGAAACCTAACAGGAAGACCAATTAATACTTCTCAGGCAAGAGGATTATGACTCACATAATCAATCTACTCTTTATTCATTCTGAGCAAAACTATCAGAAGAAAAGGAGGAAATGTTTGGCCCAGATAATCTCAGCTTTTGGTTCTAACTTTCAGACTTTATGAAGTTTTCAATTATATGTAAAACAATTACAAATTAAAATACTAACATCACTAAGATTATCACATTGGTCATCAAATGATGAAGACAACTTCATTTGCTTTGCAACAAGCCAATCAATTAAATGAAATCAAGAAATTTTTTTTTTTTCAGTACTGGGGATTGAACTCAGGACCTTGGGCTTGTAAGGCAGGCAAGTTGCCACTGAGCTAAATCCCCGGCCCAAGAAATGCTTCTTCATCTTCCTCAATCAAACAAGGAATCATTACTAGACCCTCAGAGAAGTAGCTTTCTTCCTTGGCTTTCCAAGGCCTCAGTGAGAACAACGCCTACCTCAGTAACCACTTATTCAGTGTGATAGATACTCTGCATCACTGTCAAGGACAAACACCCAAACCATCCCTTCTCATGAGGCTTTGGGAAAATGCAATTTACGGTATGAAAGGTTTTACTATAAAACTTGGTTTTAACGTACAGTAAATCTTTACTTCTAATGGAGATCTCTGAGCACTTCGTATCATATTATGAAATACTTTTCTGCTGTATCATATGCTCTTAAGACTGGTGTTACCAGGAAGTGCAGCAATATGAAGTGTTTTAAGTTCTGGACCATATTTAAATACTATAGTTTTTTGGGGGTTTTTTGTATTAAATTCTTTTATTGGTACATTGTAGGTATACAACACAATTACATTTCTTATTGGAAACTTGTACCTTTACATGATGCATCTTGGTTCTTATTTTTTCCCCATTCCTAGCCCTCCCTTCACGCCCTCCACCCTTCCCTATTTACAAAGACTTTA